CACAGGATCAGAGTTTGTGTTGAGAGTCAGTAGCAGCTGATCTGATCAAACATGTTTAACATGTAATTTCATCACATAGAGGACAGACAAGATGGAGTCCATCAGTAGTGAGTGGTTGTATTTATGCAGCTCAGATCAAATCATCACTAAATGTTTCCTTCTTGTTGTTCCAGGTTTGATCTTGAGAGCTCAGATCTTCATGAACAAACCAGGTTCTTAGTGAATCTGTTCTGTGCAGCAGCAGAGAGAGAACAGCAGACAGGAGAGAAGATGCTGGAGATGTTAGCATCAGTCTGTAGATATGCAACATTTCCCTTGTCGGATAAATACATGGATGATTATGTTGTCATATATCAGAGTGACTTCCTGTTGGATCTGTACTCCCAGATGAAGGACAGAGAGACTAAATCAGGTCTGAGTCTCCTTCCATCATTACAGTCAGTTTTACAGTCAGCTCCTAAAGTCTGGACCATAAAGCTCTCAGAGAGAAAGACCTCCATCCTCCTGGAAGTGATGAAACTCCAACCAGAGAAGAAACCAGTGGAGCTGACAGACTGCTCACATGGAGAGAGTGAAGTGAGGAGTTTCCTGCAGTGTCTGCCTTTTATCTCACAGCTCTGGTACAGTCACTTTATTTCATATTACTAGCAAAAAATAACCATTGACAATAAATGTTTTAAACTTTTGGATTATTATTTTTAATTGTATAAACATTAAAATGATCCAATTATGTTTCTTCATTGACTGATATAATTAATGTTCTTCATATTTTCACACATTGTTTAAATCTCCTTCATAGTTCAGAGGAAAATTTACTCTGTTGACATCAATATATTTGATTTATTGTTTTATTCACTGATTATCTTTGAGTTTTATATTTCTGGCCATGAGTTCAGTTCAATGTACTGAAGTTTTATTTTCCAGTAAACTACCAGGATGTGAACTAATGTTATTAGTTTCTAAATGTTGTTAGTTCAGCTTCAGGTTTGTAATTTTCTTCCTGCTTCAGCAGAACTGACTCCAGTCAGGATGAAGGTTGGGTGTTTTCAGGTTCCTCCTCCAGTCCATCCTGTCTAACTCCTCCCTCATGTTTCCAGTCCTCAGAACAGCAACATGGACCATTACTGGTCTGACTGGTCTGACTGGTCTGAATGAAGGTCTCTGGTTGAACAAATGGCTCCCAGAGAACAATGAGGGAGAACATCCATGTTTTAGTGAGAAACATTGAGCTGCAGCAGTTTTAAACATGTGACAGTCTTCAGTGAGAGAATAATGAGATGATGAGAATAATCAGATCTCTGCAGCTCAGTGACAACAACACAGCCATGTTAGCAGCTCCTAATCCTCACATAGAAAAAGCTGCAGCTGAAGCTGCTGCTGGTTGGTTGAATTTCTCTGCAGCTAAAAACTCAAAGAAGAATCTCTTTCAATTTCACTGAACAGCTTTTAAACACAACATGAGGAAACAGACAATGTTACATTGAGCTGCATTTGAACTTGAGACTGCAGTGAACTTTACTGAGCATGATGAAGATCCTAGCAGCTCTATAGAGAACAACACATTAGGATGACACACACCAAGGAGTCTTCATCACTTTGTGTCTCCAGCTGCAGATGTTGAGCAGCAGAACTGAGATTTATGTGTTAAATGAGG